TATCTATCTATCTATCTATCTATCTATCTAATCCATCTATCTATCTATCTATCTATCTATCTATCTATCTATCTATCTATCTATCTAATCCATCTATCTATCTATCTATCTATCTATCCATCTATCTATCTATCTATCTATCTATCTATCTAATTCTGCTATTTGTGGAACAGACACCCGCATATATGCTTCCGTCAACATTACAATCTAAACATTTTCAAATCAAATGTTAATCGTTATGTGTCCTCCATAACCTCACTATCTTCACATCCTGTTTACTATTCTTTCATTCATATCACACACATCATCCATCAAAATCATTTTAACAGTAACCCTCGACTTTGGGTAGAAAGTGCCATTCAGAAGTTTTTTTGCAAGAAATACTATTTTCTAGAACAGAGTCCCGCGTGGATGTTTACCTGAACACTGAAACTCTTAAACTTTTCAACACTAGGATCAACCGTTATCCATCTTCCTATTCTCATAATCTTCACCATATACCACCTGTAAAATTCATATCACACACTTTATTTCGTAGCCCTCTACCTTGAGTGGTTCTCGAGCCTTGTATTTAGTACCCCCCCAAAAAAAAACAAACAAACAAACAAACAAACAAACAAACAAACAAACAAACGAGTATTTGGCTCACCTTGGATCATGCCAGCTTATAATATTCCACACAGAGAAGCCTGGTGTAAGGTTGACCTGTGTGATGACCTAGTTAGAGATGGAGATCCGCGATTCACCCGATATGACTTAATGCTTTGACATGTGAACACGTGACCGACACATCTGCGCCTGGGATGAGAAGAAACGTGTGACAGGTGGATATATGAACACCCACCTAAGAGATCGGAAAGAGTCCCTTACATCCATGCGAGAATGTAGGCTCGACGTTCGAACACGGCCCCGTGGCCACACACCTTCAGTCCGACGGTAATTGATGTAGGCTAGAGCTGAATGAAATGTAATGTTACATAATGAGATATTAAGAATCGTGTCTTCATTAGCCATGTGAAATGACAGCGTTATACGAACGTCACTTCGCGGTGGTCTGTAATGAATCGATCGAAAAAGTCGTTTAGATTCACGAAGACGAAGAACTCAGAAGATAATGAATTAGAACCATTGAAAGAATTTTCACTTCGTTTAACATTAACGATGAAGTAATTCCAGTGTATCCATGGAGTCGTACACAGACGAATATAAACTGTAATAATAGTAATGATAATTGTAATAGGAATTATCATATTATATTAATTTAAATGCTGACACAATACACACAACAGCATTGATGTGGACGAGAACAGAAAGAAGAATGTTGAATATTTAAAGATAATTGCACTCAGATGATTTGCAGCGAAGATCATAAAATGTGCTTGGTCTAAAGAGACAAACAGTTATATATATATATATATATATATATATCATTATTTATTTAGAAAATTTATAACATAAACATGTTATAAAATCACTACAAAAATAGCCATTTTGTTTCAACACTCCAGTCTTATCAAGTGATGATGTTGAATGTCTTCAACATCATCATGATAATTTTTGTAGTGAAATAAATAATATGTTTATGTTATAAATTTTTAAAACCCCAAATAATTATATCTGCTCTACTTTGTATTGAGCACTCCTTTAAGAATAGTTGGTTATTGGAATTCATTCCGTATACACCAATTATATATATATATATATATATATATGCCTATTCTCACGATAACGCCTACTTTAATTCTTAAACATTTCTTTCTTCGTTTTCGATGTCTTATGGTAGTGAAAACATTAGCTCTGTATTTACATTTAATCTATCAGATCTATCTATTTAATTCAATCCTTTTTAAATCTATCTATCTATCTATCTATGTATGTATGTATGTATGTATCTATGTATGTATGTATCTATCTATCTATCTAATCAAATTCTTTTCAGATCTATCTATCTATCTAATCGAATTCTTTTCAAATCTATCTAATCGAATTCTTTTCAGATCTATCTATCTATCTATCTATCTATCTAATCGAATTATTTTCAGATCTATCTATCTATCTATTTAATCGAATTATTTTCCTATCTATTTATTTATCTCTTCGAATTCTTTTTAGATCTATCTATCTATCTATCTATCTATCACGTGACAAAAAAGTCCTTGTCAGCTTTTACGTTATATAGGAAAAAGTGATCAATCATACGCAAATATGTGCTTTCTCTCAGTAACGCTTGTCTTCACTCCAAATCACTACCAGTCCCTTTAGTTTTGGTTTTCAATGTTTTCAAAATCAGTAACAGTGAACTTGCATTTAACATATACTAACTCAATAGAGACTGCCGACAGTGAACGCCAAATTGAATAGTTACAGAAATTAACTATCTGTGTAGTGCGATAAAAGATGGCGCAAAATGTAACAGAGAAATCCGAAAGTGCATAGGAACAACGAAAGATGTTTTCCAGAAACTAAACAAAGTATTAAGAGATAAGAAAATGTAGTTATAAAAAAAGAAAAAGAAAAACTTTTGAATTGCTACGTAATATCTAATCTTGCATATGGCAGGAAATGCTGGAATATCTCACAGATGAGACAGAGATGTGAAGCAGTAGTGATACGATTCTACTGACTGATGCCGAGGACAGAACATATGTGCAATGGAGTTCTTTTTTTTAAAATTAGAAACTATGAGTAAACATATACTTACAACCAGACCGAGACAGTTGACATTTCTGAGATACATAATCAGGAAAAAGGGCTTGGAGAATGTCATACCCACAGGATATACTAAAGGCTTCTTTCCCCACAGATGCAACCTGGCACACCCATCACTATTGTTATTTCCATGGCAACTATTTAGTTGAGCTCCTCTCATTAATTCCACCAGTTCAGACCTTTAAAACCAGAACTAGCTATGATACGACCAAAAAGTCGAATCACCTTCATTTCCCCCGTATTCTAATTAGAAGAGGGGTCATACAGGCAACTGATTCCCGCGTGGATGCTTCCATTGACCATACAATTTTAACATCTTTATGTCAAGGGTCAGTCGTTATTTATCTTCTCTATTCTCATATAATTCTGTCTATTTTTACACTTATATTATTGTTGTGGTGTCCTCTCCCTAAAGAGTCTATCTTGCAAGATGTTGTGAGTAAGTAAATGGTTAAAGAAATAACAAATCAGAGATAATATATATTAAACAGTAAAGAAAACAGAAGAGTATTACGTGACTAGCGAGTGTCTATTCGACTGTTGTTATTTACTAGCCTCCCCACGAGGTAGGATGTGGAATAAGGCCGAGTTTAATGTGGGGCAATCCGAGCCCGTAGGATCGGCCAAAAATTCCTCATAGACCCCGTATAAAACGGTGTCGGGTAGCTGTTTCCCGAGACGAGACGAGACTCTACCCTTCGTCATGCCCGGGGGCAGAGGTCTTGACCAGCAGAGCTAAAGACAAATGTCCAGAGGCCGAATTTAATGTGGGGGTCAGACACGTAGGCCAGGCCCAAATTCCCCGTAAACCCTGTATAAAACGGTGTCGGGTAGCTGTTTCCCGAGACGAGACTCTGCCCTTCGACATGCCCGGGGGCAGAGGGCTTAACCAGCAGAGCTAAAGACAAATGTCCAAAGGCCGAATTTAATGTGGGTGTCAGACACGTAGGCTAGGCCAAAAATTCCCCGTAGACCCTGTATAAAACGGTGTCGGGTAGCTGTTTCCCGAGACGAGACTCTGTCCTTCGACATACCCTCGTCTGGTTGATCCTCTCTGCCCGAAGTCAGAGAATTTGACCAGCAAAATGCGAACAGAACTGTTCGACTGTTAATATTTAACAGACCCATCCCCACGAGGGATGTATGCGGTACAAGGCCGAGTTTACCGTGGGTTCTCCGAGCCCGTAGGCACGGCCAAAAATATTCACTTAGAATCCGTATAAACGAGTTCAGGGCCTGTCTACCTCCTCGGACGAATCTTTGCCCTGCGGCAAAGCCTTGTTCGGGTTCCTCTCCGCTCGAGGCAGAGAGTTCGACAGATGAACAATCTATTCGACTGATCCCCCAAGGCCTTATCTCCTACTAATCTTATAGTAGGTGGAAGAGTGCAACATAGACTCTTTAGCGGGAGGACACCACAACAATTATATACCTCGTTTAGTAAACCCGCTACTTTGACTGGCTCACGTGCTTTGTACTGGGCGAACTTTATTAAAGAGAGAGAGAGAGAGAGAGAGAGAGAGAGAGAGAGAGAGAGCAGGGCAGGAGAAAGAGTGTGTAACGTGTTTAACGGATTTGTGTGAATAGGTGACAAAGCAAAATCAAATAGGGATGGTAAAAAGACTAAAGTAACTTAGAATAACAGAGGACATTCAGATAATTGTATGTAAGAAAGGAAAGAACAATCTCAGAAAATGTCAGAAAGTATGAGACATCTCGTGTAAAAATTCCCTACACACCAGTTCTTCAAGAGTTTGCCCTCATTTGAAACCTAGAGACTGTCTTCGGGATGTTCATTATAAATTTCAAATTCTTAAACAACCTAAGCGTACAAGGGGTGTGCGGAAAAGTTCCCGGTCTGAGAAGAGATGAAAAACATCTTACAATTTGGTCATTTCGTCAGATTTTAGGAAGTAGTTCGAGTAGAGAACTTATCAGCCCCACCTTAGTCACTTAGCTCTCTACTCGGTAAGTCATATTATAATATTACGATGTCGTAAAGAATAGTTAAAAGTGCAGTATGTTGTAATTATTGACATCAATAGCTGGACAGAAGCATTGGAGACCAATTTTATTTGTATTTTATTTGTCTGGTTGAAACTAAATAATTTTCTCTTTGGTTTAGTCGTTCTCTGGAAACACAAGTGAAGTTCTATACATCCGTGAAGAGAGAAGTAACAAAATTGTGATGCTATTTGACTAGATAAATCATTTGTAAGAAATTGAAATAGAGACAGGGTGAGAAAAATAAAAGGAGAAACAGATAGGTAAAAGAAAGAGATTGCGTTATCTCACGACAGATTTTGATAGACAGACAGGCAGACAGATAGACAGATATATAGATAGATAGATATAAAGAGACCGAGATAAATACGTAAAAGGTAATTGAGATAGAAAATGACCGTGATAGATAGGTAGAAGCTGAGAGAGATAGGTACATAGATAGATAGATAGATAGATAGATAGATAGATAGATAGATAGATAGAAAGAGGCTGAGACAGATAGCATGCTGGCTAGATAGCCAGATAGATGAGACAGATAGCATGTGCTGGCTATATATAGATAGATAGATGAACAGAAAATACGTAAAAAGGTGCGATATATCGTGATAGATAAGATAGATAAAAAAAAGGGACCTAGATAAATAGCTACGTAAAAAGGTGATGCTGAGATGATCGATGATGAATAATAGATAGATACAGCCAGATGATAGATACAGAAATTGAGGCTGATATAGATAACTTAGCTAAATCTGATGGACAGAAGAAACAGAAGCTACGATAAGATAGAAATAGATAGATAGATAATGAATAGATAGATAGATATAGATAAATGATGAATGATAGATATAGATACTGAGACAATGAGATAGATATAGAGACAGAAACAGATTGAGGCAGACATATATAGATATATAAAAGTTAGACTGAATCTGATGGACAGATGAAACAGACTAAGGTAGACAGGCAGGCAGTTAGAAAGAAACAAACTGAAATAGATAGATAGATAGATGAATATGAATAGATAGATAGATGAATAGATAGATAGAATGAATGAATGAATACTGAGACAGCCAGATAGATATAGAGACAGAAACAGATTGAGGCAGACATATATAGATATATAGTTAGACTGAATCTGATGGACAGATAGAAACAGACTAAGGTAGACAGGCAGGCAGTTAGAAAGAAACAAACTGAAATAGATAGATAGATAGATAGATAGATAGATAGATAGATAGATAGATAGATAGATAGATAGATAGATACTGAGACAGCCAGATAGATATAGAGACAGAAACAGATTGAGGCAGACATATATAGATATATAGTTAGACTGAATCTGATGGACAGATAGAAACAGACTAAGGTAGACAGGCAGGCAGTTAGAAAGAAACAAACTGAAATAGATAGATGATAGATAGATAGATAGATGATAGATAGATAGATAGATGAGATAGATAGATAACAGAAAGCAAAGAGGCTGCGATATATAGATAGATATAAAGGGACCTAGATAAATACGTAAAAGGTGGCTGGATATCATGATAGATAAGATATAGATAGATAAAATAGAGATAACTAGCTAAGTAGCTAGCCGATAGATAGATAGATATAGATAGATAGATAGATAGATAGATATAGATACAGAAACAGAAACAGATTGAGGCAGACATATATAGATATATAGTTAGACTGAATCTGATGGACAGATAGAAACAGACTAAGGTAGACAGGCAGGCAGTTAGAAAGAAACAAACTGAAATAGATAGATAGATAGATAGATAGATAGATAGATAGATAGATAGATAAATAGATAAATAGATAGATAGATAGATAGATAGATAGATAGATACTCAGAAAGAAGAACGGAATGAATCAAAGGATGTAACTAAGATAATTGGAGATAAATAAAGATAGAAACAGGCTAAGAAAGCAAGCAAGGGAGACTGAATTCGATCGAATGAGAGATAAAGAGAAAGTAAGAACGAAATAGACTAAAATAGAAACGAATAAAGAAAGAAGGAAAAAGACGTTATTGAGAAGATAGACTAAGAAAACAATGATTTGATTACTTTTGGCGTTCGAAAATAGTTTTATACTAAAAAGACTTTAAGGTTGGTTAAAGTTTGAACTCAAATCATTGGTAAAACCTGGTCGAGTATAAATATGAACATTGATTTCGAATCAGGAATAGAAAACCTTTTCTTATGGTAGGTAAGACTATCACTTGAAAAATCATAAATAATCGTGAGTTTATCAGATCTTTTACAGCCTCGGGTTCTCCTGTCTTTTTGTGAAAAAATATCCTTATCTTTGTTGCTGTTTCCCGTTGGCTGCAACTTGAAAAAAGTTTCACTACTCCAGGGAAAGTAAATCAAATTCTTGACAACCTGAATTGTTCATTCAGCAATTAATTCGAGTCTCTAACATCTTTTTTTTTTTTTGTTATCCTCACAGGTGAGTTTTTTTAAAATAAAAAAAGGGAAAGAAAACAAATAATATCGACACCAGACAACCCCACCACAAGAATAAAAAAATAAAAATGTATTATACAACTTTTAAAATTAAATGAACTAAAACGAAAAGTTTGAAAATTTTGCAAAAATAAAAAAAATTGTTAAATAAAAATAAATATAAAAAATAAATTATATTAAGAATTCTAATTAGTGATCAAATTTTAAAAGTAAAAAGTAATATATTCGAAAATTTAAATTTAAAATGTTAGTTAATAAAACAGACAGTAAAAAAATAAAAAAATTGTTTAGACATCTAGAAGTTTCTAAAAATGTAAAAATTAAACAAAATATAATTTAATTTTAAATAATAGAAGAATTAAAAAATTAATTAAAACACTAATTTTTATTCTTCAACAGTTTAAAATTTCAGAAAAAAATGAAAAGATTAAATTAAATAAAATCTGAATTAACAGAAAAGTTAAGAAATTGCTCACAAAAAATTACTTACAAATTTTATAATTGCTGTAAACGGGAATTTTCTTTGTATTTCAGAGCTGTGTTTTTTATTTATTTTAAAATTTATTTTTCACATTTTTTCTTGATATGAAGAAAACTATAAATAACAGCTTCTATTTCTTGATGATATTGGAGATTTTGCAAGCATACTTAGATGCTGAGGGCTAATATAGAAAGGAAGAGAACTGATTCCCTAACGACCTGCTTAATTTGCATTTCAGTAGTTGAGACTTTCGGAAAAAAAAAACAAAAACAAAAAAAAAACACTTAAAAATGAACTGACCGTACTTGGTCTACTAATGAGAAGAAAGTCAATTCAAAATTTACTAGTGCTTGCTTTTCAAATGTAACCTAATTCGCTACTTGTTAGCTCAAACTGGCAACCCTATCTAGGCGATGGCTACCAAAAAATAAGTAAATCTAAATCAATAAAATATCGAATACCAATCAACGACGTCGTATTTCCGTATGCGTGCCTCTTACGAAAACACATCTTCGTTTTTCGAACACTTTGCATCTACAAAACTATTCATTAGCTGAAGAGAATTGAAAATATAACGCCATAATTGAATAAGCAGCTTGCAGGTTCTACAACTACAACAATACTCATGTAAATTCCTTTATTGCCTTTAAGAAAATATTACAACAACAATCATATTGTAGGAATTAGAACATTATTTAAAGAAGCATGGGGGTACACATGAAAATTTTCAAAACTGACAAGGTTTTCCATTTACCTAAAGCACAAATTAGACACAGGCTTTTATTTACACTATTTACATTGTTCGGACTATTGACCTCGTTTTATTGCCATATTCACGACATTTCGGCCGTTGTACGGCCCGACCTTCTTCAGGTGACATTTGTTGGAATTTCGAACTGAACCCTTTATTTACTCCACATGGCCCAGTGGAAAAAGGCGTTGGCGAGTTGATACAAAACGCGGAATTAGAACAATATACCCCCGTGGACTAAATAAAGAGTTCGGTTCGAAAATCCAACAAATATCACCTGGAGAAGGCCGGGACTTACAACGTCCGAAACGTTGTGAATATGGTAATAAAGGTGAGAACAACAGTACGAACAAAGTAAATAATATAGTTACGGTTCTTCATCTCAGAAATATAGACACACAGAATATTATTACCTCCTCTTTCTTTCTTTCTTTCTTTCTTTCTAAACAACGCGTTTGATACATCGTTTCTTCTGTCTATCCTCGCAAACAGATGTGGCCCATTGTTTTCTGAGGTAATGACAGGGCGTAACGTACAGAGGAACTAAGGAACAAGCAGAATCATAATAGTATTGATTAACAGCCAATAAAGCAACAAGAGATTGCGATAATGTTTTTTCTCTAATTGGCTAGCTGTCAAGGTGATTTGTAGAGTTGACAATGACTTGGTATCGATCAATATCAACATTGGTCTTTGTGAGTGGATCAAAAAGTGTTGTGTGAGGCTGGAACTGTCAGAGAACTGACGCGTAATGAATATTATAACAAAGTTGAATTTTAAAAACGTTTTCTTTTTGTGGGGGATTGTCGGAGTGTGTACTTAATTGATTATGTTTTGATGACGGTATTTATTCACCTCCTCATTGTGTGTAAATTCAGTACAATTGTAGTCAGAATGTCGATCTCCACACTCTTGTGTGTTTAGAGGAAAAGATTGTCTAGTCAGTGCGACCGTTTTTGCCTTTGGCATTCCATATTTATCAAACAAGTATTTGACCATATCCCTTTGTGTACAATGAAGTGGTACAGTCTGGGAGAACAAATATCCTTGAGCTAGGTATTGTATTTCTTAGGACATAAAATAAAAGCGAGTCTTTTTTTTAAAAACACGATAGTACAACCAATATAAAGCTCTCGAGTTACTTAACCCTAGAACACTAACCATCAATTAAAGTTACACCACTACTAACCATGGGTATATCATACCCGATTTTGAAAATATCAAAAAAAAAAAAAAAAAAAAAAATTAAATATAAATCTTTATTTGAAATATTTAACATGTAGGAACTTCAAACTTTGTACTTTGAGTTAACATTAATAGGAACTGTAAAACATATTTTGGAAAAAAAAATCAGATGCTGAAAATTGTAATTAAAAATAGCAAAATTGGCGCTGGGTATATTATACCCATGGTTAGTGTTCTAGGGTTAAGATAGAGGATCAGTGAATGAGGTTTTTTATGGATATAAGAGGAGGAGGTAAGAAGTGAGGATTATGAGGATATGTAGGCTAGATAACGGTTGACAGCATTCTCTCGGCAGTCTGTTCCACCAAGCAGCGGCATTAAAGTCTCGTCACTGATTCATCCCTCGCATCTAATTTGAGCAGCACTCTCATAGGGATGGTACCTTTGATTTACATTTCTTAATTATTATTTGTACTCGTTGAGTTTTCACATCAACAGAATCTGCAGCCGGATGTCTGGGTAGCGTAATGACTATCGGTGCCAAAATTGGATTTAACGAGCCGTGTTCAAATCCAGGCCTGTTCTGTTGCGTTCATTACTGCCCTTGGGAAAAAGCATGAACCAATCTATTCTCCTCACCCTCACCTATGGGCTAAATTGCAGGGTAGACTACTCTCCCCTGCCTTGCCAGTTTGGAAGGATTATTTTTAATTCAAAACCGTGTAGAATGTAACAGGAAACCACTCCTCTATATTTCCCAAGAAATCATGTCAAGGAATCTGTGGAGAGTCAAAATTACATATGTCCTGAAGGGGCCGGAAATGAAAAAAAAAGGGGTCAAGTGCCAACAAGGCTCTTCAATACTCCGATACTATCTTTAATATTTATTGTTGATTTTAGTCGTGCTGTTTTATGGATATGGTTTTGGCTTTTCCGCAGATATTCTAGGCTCTTTGAGAATGTTCTAAAGTCAACGTTAATTATGTGTTACATTGTTAAATCAGTTTTCCATAATCCTATCAGTTCTTTGACTAGGCGGTGGTGTTTTTTTTCTAGTTCTTCTCTCACTTTTAAGTTTTAAAATGCAGTCTGCTGGATGAGCGGCATACAATTTCGGACCGGATTTGTTCTTTGTATTTTCCGATAAACAAAATATCATTTTCTCACTTTGATTGGATTTTCAAATAGAATTTGATTTCATTTGATTTATGCTAAAGGAGGGCTTCTGGCTTGTGCATGTTCAAATCGTCGATTTGTACGCATTTGTGTGTCTACAGTTCTCTCCCTTTCTTTATAATCCATCATCGATGCTTTCAAACAGACACACACACACATATAAATATAATCAAATAAATAAATGTACCTCCAAGTGCAAGTAATCATAGACACACAGACACAGAAACACGCAGATACACATACACATCCTTTGGTGAAAATAAAACAATGTTCAATGCAATAGAAAAGAGCCAGTAAGTATATATTAATAAATGTATATAATACCGCACGCCACGTCTAAAGGAGTAATTTATAGAGCTAGCATCAAACATGAAGGCAATGTCAAATTCTATTTTGGTTCAACTGAAAACCATTGGAAATCACGTTTCTACAACCATCAAATGATATTAGGCAATATTAAATATAGTAACAGTACTACCCTCTCTAAATTCTTCTGGAAAATAAAAAAAAACGGCAATAGAAACCCTGGGTGTTTACGTAGCATACGCCAAAATTTTCAGCGGAAATGGTAATACATGTATTTTATATCTTTTAGAAAAACTTGTCATTCTAAAACACATAGATAATACTAATTAGTAAAACAAAAGAAGTGAATTAATGACAACATGCAGACCTAGACACAAATACCTGCTCAAGCACGTTGACCCAGATTAATATAATTTATTCTCATTCGGACCCCACATATACTATTATTAATATTACTATTACCTATTATTATTACATTATTAATATTAATAATAATATTATTATTATATTATTATTATTATCATATTATTAATATTATTATTATTATTATTATTATCATCATATTATTAATATTACTATTACCTATTATATAATTAATATAACTATTATTATTATTATCATCATCATATTAATATTACTATTATCTATTATATAATTAATATTACTATTATTATTTCTAATAACTATTGTTGCATTTAGCATCGCTATCATTTAATTGTTTTATCCCAGGCAAAACTATGAGTTATCCTTAAATTGAAACATAGTATGAATCCATTTTAACGTATATAGTGTTCTCCATTT